GAGTCTGTAATCCCAGCCCTGGGGAGGCTGAAAACAGGAGGAGCACTATGAGTCTGAACTGCATAGTGAGACCCTGTACCACATACATAAATTTTAAAAAATAAATAAAATAAAAACATGGTCCAAACTTTTAGGATTACAAATCACAAAATATCTTTTAAGACAGAGGTTGATTATTAGTCAGAAAAGGAAACAAAAAACTAAACAATTCAGAACAAAGCTGTAACTTGTTTTTGTATGTTTGTATATTTTCATGTTTGATTTGTTGAAACAGTATGCAGTTCAAGCTGGCCTTAAACTCATCATGTAACCCAGGAGGGCCTCAAATTCACAGCACTCCTCTTGCCTCAGACTCCCAAATGCTGTGCTTGTAGGCCTGCAGCATGATGCCCCGCTTATAACTCGAGAATTTTAAAGTGATTCTGTATGACCTTAATGATCCTAATATTTGAAAAAGTTCACTAGTAAAACTTTTAAATGTGTTTTTTAATGATTTTTGGCCTAGTAATCTGGCTCTTAATCTGTACTTAAGATAATTAACTTCAAATAAGGAGTTATAAATAAATGAAGCTGATAACTGCAAAAAATTTTTCAAAGAGGAGGTGGAGGAGGAGAAAGAGGATTAAAAGAAAAAGCACTGAGATATGTTTTTATGTACATGTACCCATTCTTCACAACAAATGTAATCATTATGGCTATAAATATGTACTCAAAAAAATTTAATTTTTAAATAAGCTTTTAAAAATTATCTCAGGATAATCAAATTTTGAATTCATAAACATTTACAAGAATTGTTTTATAAGGGCTGGCCAGATCACTCAGTGGACTAAAGAGCCTGTTTAGGCAGACACAGGGACTGGGGTTAGATCCCCAGCGTGCAGTGGGGCGCGCTGACACACTGACTGAGACTGGGCATGGTGATGCGCACCTGTAACCCTAGCACTTGGGAGGCTGAAAACAGGAGGATCACTGCGAGTCCAATCTGTGTAGTGAGACCCTGTAGACCCCGTACTAAATTAAGAAAAAGCACCTCAGAGATTAAAGAACTTTACCAAAAAATAATAATTCACTGAAGTTCTGTATTAGCTAATAAGCATAAGAAAATCAAAACAAAAAGAGATAGAGCTGGGTAGATAGCTCAGAGTTTTAAGTGCCTGCTTAGCAAGCACAAGTGCAAAGACCAGGCAGGGTTCAATCACCAGCACCACAGACTATGCCAGACCCAGAAACAAAAAACTGCATGTTGCAGTGCATGCCTGTAAGCCCAGCACTGGGTAAACTGAGACAGGAAAATCACTACAAGTTGGAGCTGCAAAGCAAGTCCCTGTGCCAAAGCAAGCAAGCAAGCAAGGAAGGAAAGAAGGACGGACAGATGGACAGAGAGACTGAAAGAGCTATCTATCCGATCTGATACTAATCGTATCTGTTATCTAGTAAAGAAAAGAAAAGCCCACTATTCAGTCTCTCAGTCAGAATCCCTGTTTGTCCAGTGGCATACAAAGTCAAAACAGGTAAAAACCTAGGAATATACCTATGGCCATGAAAAAGTTTATAAATGAACATGCTTTAAACAACTAAACTCACCACATTTGGCTTATTTTTGTGAAAAAAAAGTTTAAATTGTCATGAATAATCAAAAAAATGTACATTATAAATAATGAAACATTTTCTTTTTAAAAGGTATACTTACCAACAAGCCAAAGTGTAGTCAAAAGTTTCTAAATATTTTCACACAAACCATAATAAAAAATCTTGTGTACTGTAGCGCTCCCTCCAGCAGTATATATACTAAGAAATCTATATAGTTATAGCATTAACTTCCTTATAATTGCAATGTAGTCAATAATTACAGTCTTTCACCAATAACATTTTATATTCTTTAAGTATATTTCTTTAATTTTTTTTAAACAACACAAGTCCACCATTTTTATTCAACAAGGAGTTTCACATACACACACATACAAAATTCCACTGAAATGTTTCAATTAATTTTTAATTATATTACATGTACTTACTGATATGATTTCTATAAACTGTAACCAAGGCAATATTATACAAAAGCAGGTACAATATAAATTACACTGTCTTATGTAAGGTTCCAGAGAGGAAAATTAGAAATACTCCAAAGTAATACCTTTTCTGACAAGACAAACCTCTTTCACAACAGCCTATCAAGAATTTCTCAAACTCAGTTTAGCACATTTTCTTTCCTTTTCTCCACAATTATCTTTATTAGCACATGTTTTCAATATAGTTTAGCACATCTGATAACATACCTAAAGACCCCTTGGTTTGTTGATAGTTTGGCGGTATGTTTTCCTTAGCCATGGAGAATAGTATTTTACTATTTTCAGAAAGCTTCTCTGATGTCTTTCCCTGAAAGACGTAATATTTACAAATCAAGGAGAAAAAAATTCCAACAAAATATGCAATTCACCTGAAAACTTCCATTTAAGAGCGTGACAAAATTATATGGCACATTTGAGAAGTGATTTAAGGTAAGGTCTGAGGAATTAACCAAAGGCATTTAAATACTGTAATAAATATTCTAATGTAAGGTGGTAGTGGGACTTAAGCCTAGGGTTTACCCAACTCATGACAAGAAGCATTCTGCCCATTCACCTACATCCCCAGTCCTAAATTTTTTTCTAAATATTTTAATATTTAACTCATTCACTAATCACCACTCACTGACTTCCTATCAAATCCCCTACACTATGCCAAGCATTGGAAATACCAATCTTGTTTTAAAAAAAGAATCTCTGTCAGAAGAAAACTTAAAAACTTCTGGGGACAAACAATAAGAGAATACAATTACAATATGCATTATAAAGAGTGACAAGAAAGGGCTATGGAAAACTTTAAAAACAAGGTTAGGAAAACCAAAAAAGCTATGGCAGGGACTACAAAGCCTTGATGAGCAGAGGACTCTGGAATAGAGAAATAAAGATTACTCATGTTCCTCAGCATCACAAAAAAAAAAAATTACTTATGTGCTATTTACTATTAGAAATAATAAACCTATATTTAAACTTATATACTCCAAACCATATAACTACAAACACTATACAACTGCCTCTTAATACTGAGTGATTAGGAGCAAAAACTTCAGAGGCCCAGTATAGTGGGGCATGCCTGAAATCTCAGCACTCAGGAGGCTGAGGCAAGAGGATCACTGTGAGCCCAAGGCCAGTCTCAGCTACATAGTGAAAGCCTGCCTAAAAAAACCCAAAGATTTCACAGTTCAGTGAAGGCTTTAATCTTCAATCTATCTCATTTCTTTTGATGTATAAAACAAAACAAAATTTCCCCACTCATGCATGTTATGAACAAATGAAATGATACAGATAAAGCCCTTGGCACAGCTCCTTGTTATGATTATTTTGTGGAGGATTACTGTGGGAGGAAGGCAACCTAGTAGGGTAGCTCAGGAATCAAGCACTAGAGTCCACCAACTAGATCACCTTTTTTCACGGTACTTACCTCCTCGTATCTCAGTTTAGCTATCTGAAAAATTACAGCAGCACTTAGGTCATAGATTACTATGAAATATAACCTTTAAGACTATGTCTTATCCTTAGCTAGCACTCAATAAATAGTAGCTATGCAATTAAAACTACTTTTTTTTCCCCCCCAGTTTTTTGAGACAGTGACTCACTATGTAGTCCAGGCTGGCCCTGAACTTACTGTTCAGGCTGGATTCAAATTTTTGGTGAACCTCCTGCCTGAGCTTCCCAAGTGCTGGGATTACACACAAGCGCCACCAGGACAAATGCTACACCAGAAGAGACATGGACAACGGGTGAGCCACAATGACTTAGGCAAACTAACACATATGGTTACTCTTGTTACAACTCAACATATGGCACAGACTCACAGTACATCTCATATATTAATACACATGCGAGATGATACAAAGGATGTCTAGATTAGTACAGGATCCTCAATATTTGCCAAGCTGATGAATCACTCTTTCATCAAGATGAGAAAAATGACTTGGTGATAGCTCAGCAGACTAAATGTCTGCTTAGGCAAGCATGCTGGCCCAGCCCCTGAGACCTGGCATGGTGGCACAGGCCTGTAATCCCAGCTCTGGGGAGGCTGAAAACAAGAGGATCACTCAGACTCTGAGCTGCATAGCAAGACCATGTACCAAATACATTAACAAAAAAAGAAAGAAAAACTTAAACTTTCCAGAAAATGTTTTCAAAAACAAACATTTAACACGTTTCTATTCTGAAGAGCAAACAATACAAATTATCCTATCTTAATTCAGCAATGTACATTTTAAGAATGCTTTGAATGATTCATTAAATACTGCAATTATTGAGCTCACTGTGGGAGCACATACCTATAATTATAATACTTGGGGAGCTGAGGCAGGACTGCTACAAGTTTGAGGCCAGCCTGGGCTACACAGTGAGATTCTGTCAGAAAAAACTAAGATAGATAGAGAGATAGATAGATAGATAGATAGATAGATAGACACTATCACACAGAATATGTAAAACTTGCTTTACTTCTGTCTCACTTTTTCTGGAAGTTCTTTACACAAGAACTGATTTCCTAAATATTCTGTGGATGCTGGGTATGATGTTACATGACTTAAATCCAGCACTTGGGAGGCTGAGGCAGGAGGACTGCTTTGAGTTCAAGGCCAGCCTGAACTACACAGTGAAACCTTGTCTCAAAGGAAAAAAAAAAATTTATAGACCACATGATCATTCATTAAAACTCCAACAAGAGCTGTGGAGATAGCTCAGCAGCATAAGCACCTGCCTTATGCAGGCAAGAACCCAGGTTCAATCCCTGGTACCACACCAAGCTGGACAACAAAATGGGCAAGGTACCGCATGCCTGTAATCCCAGCACTAGAGAGGCTGAGACAGAAGGAAGACTATGAGTCTGAGCTGCACAGTGTACCAAATAAATAAATAAAGTTTTTTAAAAATTTAAAAATAAAAGTCCAATGAGAGGAAATATTGTGAGATATAAGAAAAACTGTATTTAGCCAGGTGTGGTGATGCATACCTGTAATGCTAGCACTCAGAAGGCTGAGGTAGAAGGATCACCAAGAGTCCAAAAACAGCCTGAACAACATAACATACCATGTCTATAAGAAAAAAAGAAAAGAAAGAAAAACTACACAAAATCTCTAAAATCTTGTCTGGAGTCAGGCTCTCAAAATCAGAATGAGAGCACAGGCAAATTAAAGTATGAAATAAAACATTCTCTCTTACAACAAGATGTTTTGCATTTATATAGAAAGATTTTTTAAATGTTATAACAAAATTATTAACTTTACCTTCATTTCCATGTAAGGTGGGTCATGTTCCAATTCTGCTTTGTCTTTGGCCAATTTGGCTTTACGTTCTTCTATAAATTTATCCAAACTATCATCCATCTTGAAGGCTGGGGGTGGGGCTTCTTAGATGAGCACAAATAGATTGCTGGAATTTTAGCCTAAATATTAACATAAAGGTTTAGTCCAAATTTAGTATTCAACTTCACTTATCAAATTAAAAACTTCAGACTTAAAAAACTTCATCATAAATATGCCTCAACTCCCCAGAAATGCCTAACACTTATTTTAAAATGTTAATCCTTGAGTCAAATCATTTTTTCAAAGCTAAATAGTTTGATTATTTGAAAATAATTTCTAATTTATGGAAGGACTACACAAATGATAACCAAGAACACCCATGTACTATTTACTAATTCCCTATTTGTAAGATTTTACTCCATTTGCTTTATTTTGGCTTGTGTCCACAAGGTCATTGTATCTATTTTTTTTTTTTTCTTTTCTAAATAAAATCAAGGGTTGGCAAGATAGTTCAGCAGACTAAGCACCTGCTTAGGCAAGTGCAGGGACTGGGGTTCCATACCCGGCACCACAGGTCGCGCAGGCCCCAACCCAGGCACACTGAGCTGGTCACCAAGACTGGGCATTGTGGCACACTCCTGTAATCCCAGTGCTGGGGAGGCTGAAAACAGGAGGATCACTTTGAGTCTGAGCTGTGTAGTGAGACCTTGTACCAAATACACTAAATAAATAAATAATTCAGAGGGTGAATTATGTATCTTACAGGCCTTTAAACTCTCCAATGTGCCTTTCTTAAGAATGAGCTGTGAATGTAACTCAGTGATAAAGTGCTTCCTTAGCAGCATGAGACCTGGGTTAGAACTCAGCACCCCCTAGGGATCCAAAAGTAGAATTAAGTTACTTTCTTATACAACCTCAATTTCAGAAATTATAATTATCAACTTCAGAAACATTGGTTTTGTTTTTTTTTTTTTATCTAATCTACTATCCACATTCCAATTTTGTCAATTGACCCAATAATGGCTTTTACAGTATACTTACTACCTCTCTCACGCTCAGGATCCAGTCTAGCTTAGTTACTGCATTTTACTATGATATGTCTCACATTAACCTGAAACGTCTCCAAAACCTTCCTTTGTATCCTATGATAGGAATAGCTTCTTAATACAAACCACCCACCACACACCTTTTAAAATAGAATAGTCCTCATCTGAGGTTGGTTGATGTTTCATAATGACTAAATTCAGGTAAAAGGACTGGGGAGATGGCTCAGTAGAATAAGCACTTCCCTGGCAAGTGCAAAGGCCTGAGTTCAATCCCCGGTTCTACCAAAAAGAAAAAAATAAATAAATAAATAAATAAATAAATAAATTCAGGTAAAACGTTCTCAGCGTGAATAGTACACTTCGCTATGTCAGTCTCAAGGCATCACCAGCACCGAGACATGTCTGGCTATCCTTCACTAGTGAAGTAATTATTGTTCACATAGTCAAGATATAGTCTGATTTCTTCTGAATACTTGTTACATAAAGCAGTCTGTTTGGGGATACTTTTAGACTATTTAAATATTCTACTTCTAATCAACATGTACCTCAAGATTTAGATTTGTCACTCCCTTTTTGGTGTTTGTTCATTTCATTTTGTCTTAGTTTTCCTTTTAAGATGGAGTCTGAGGCTAGGCTAGGCCAGGCCACCTATGAACTAGCCATGCAGCTCAGTCTGCCCCCAAGCTCTCAATCCTGTCTCAGCCTCTAAAGGCTAGGATTACAGCCCGGTGCTACCACGCCCAACACTATATAGCCAACTTTTGGTTGGTCCGACTTGACTCTGGCTGGCTGCAGAATGCTAGTTTTCTAATTCCACCACTCTCCATTTAGCACTTTTATTCTATTGCAAACAACAGCCCTTCCCTTAATCCCCCTTATTGGTTTATGATCAGTGTGGAATTTCCTTTGTTAATAAACTCTAGAACCTTTAAATTCACAAACTGCTATTTTACCTGAGATAATTTATATACTAATAAATTCATTAATATTAGTGAGTGCCTCCAATGAGTTTTAGTAAATTCAAAGTTGTTCATGTGTTACCAAATCGCATTTCCACAATCCCAAGAAATTCCCTCATACCCCTTGCAGTCATTCCTCCCTCCCTCCTCAACTTGGGAAACTAAACTCTACACCTTTGTCTAATCTGCTAATTCCCTATAAATGGATGATAAATAATATGTAATTTTATCTGACTTCTACTGTTTCTGAGATTTACATTTGAAGTTTGGTTGCTTTTTATTGCTAAGTTGTACTCTATCACATGGAAATGCCATATCTTATTTCATGCGTTCATCTGTTACTAGACATTTGAATTGTTCTATTTTGACTATTTACAAATAATTGGGCCCGGGGAGATGGCTCAGTAGAAGAAGCGCTTCCCTGGCAAGCACAAGGGCCTGAGTTCAATCCCTGGTTCCACAAAAAAATAAATAAATAATGACATTATTAGCACTCCTATACAGGGTATTTTTTTTTCAATTCTTTTTGACATATGTTGCAAAACTGCTAGGTCATATAAACTATATTTAATACACTGAAGATGTTCCTTAGAGTATACTGGCTGTATCATTTTATATTATAATCAGCAATGTATGAGGATCACAATTTCTATTCAACTTCACCAAAACTTGCTATTTTCATTCTTTTTGATCTTGGTTATTGTAATGGGTATGTGTTAGTATCACTATGTGGTTTTTGTTTTGTTTCTTATGATACTGGAGATTGAACCCAGGGCCTTTGCACTGAGCTGTATTAGCAGCCCATTTCACTTTTTTTTTCCTTTTTTTTTTTTTTAAGTATTTGGTACAGGGACTCACTATGCAGCTCAGACTCGTTTTCAGCCTCCCAGCGCTGTGATTACAGGCATGAGCCACCACATCCAGACTCAGTCACTGGCTCAGCGCACCCCTGGGGAGGGGCCAGTGCAGCATCCAGGACCAGAAACCAAACCCTGGTCCCTGCACTTACCAAAGCAGGCATTTAGTCTGCTTCGCTATCTTGCTGGCCCCCTTTTCACTTTTGAAGACAGGGTTTTGCTAAGTTGCCCAGGCTGAGCTCAAATTTGCAATCATACTGCCTCAGCCTTCCAGATTGTTGGGATTACATGTAAGTACCACCATACTCAGCTCTATGTGGTTTTAATTTGAATTTCTCTAAAAACTATGCTCTTGAGGTTATGTTTTCATGTGTTTATCCACCACTCATTACTCATACATATAGTCATTAGCTAAGTGCCTATTCAAATATTCTGCCCATTATAAGAAGTAAATAGTTTCCTTCTTACGTATGCCTTTAAATATTTTCTACCAAACTGGTTTGTAAGTTTTCTCAGTGATACCATCTTAACAGTAATAGTATTTAATTTTTATCAAGCCCAATTTATGAACTTTTCATCAGTTTTAATCAATTTATTATTTGAGCTTTTTGTGTCACATCAAAAATCTAACTCAGAGGGCCAGCCAGATAGCTCAGTGGACTAAAGCACCTGCTTAGGCAGACTGCAGCAGCTGCGGTTCGATCCCCAGCATGCCTTGCCCGCCTCGCCCCCAGGTCCATGGTAAGACCTCAATTGGAGACTGGGCATGGTGGCGCAGCCTGTAATCCCAGCGCTTGGGAGGCTGAAAACAGGAGAATCACTAAGATTCTGATCTACATAGACCTATAGACCCTGTACTAAAAAATAAAATCAAATCAAACTCAGTATGTTCTTTTGTTTTCTCTTAGAACTTTTTAAAATTTCCTCTCTCAGGCTGGGGAGATAGCTCAGTGGTCTAAGTGCCTTCTTGGCAACCACAAGGACTTGTTTAAATCCCAGTACCATATGCTGTGCAGACCCTGGGTTCCTAGGTGCACCATGCTGGCCATGGAAACCGGGTATGGTGGAACATGCCTATAATCCCAGGCTGAGACAAAAGGGTCACAAGTCCAAGCTGGGTAGCAAGGCCCTGTACCAAATAAATAAATAAATAAATGATTTTTCTTTTTTTTATTTATTTATTTTCCATAATTTTATTGAGAGACAAACAGCAATGACACAGTTTCAAATCAAACTGGTAGGACAGTTTCAATAATTAACACATTGCATACATTCTTCCTAATGGTTATTTGCTGTACAAGATGTGGACACGATATCCTATTTGCAAATACTATTACAACAAATCTCTCTACTCATTAAGAGAATGTAGCTATATATCTATCCTAACCACTTTGAATACACAGATACAAAATGGACATTCATATGTATCCCCTTTTTTGCTTAGTTCCGTCATTTGAATATTATAGGTGTGTGAACTCAGCAAAATATTCTAAAAGAGTCCAGTAA